GTCATGCTGGGCCCGTTTTCTTTTCCACCAACAGGCAGTACCCCTAGTACCTCCATCAACAAGCAGTAGCCTCTCATGTCTCATGCTAAGACTGCTGTAACAAAACTCCACACACTGAGCTCCTTAACAACAGTTCAGTTTTCTCACAGTTGTGGAGACCAGAAGTCTGAGACCAACACATTGGCAGTGCTGTTTTATTCTAAGGCCTCTTTGGTTCAGTGATGTTTTCACATGGTCTGCTGTCTGTGCCCATCTGTGTCCTTGTCTTGTTTTATAGGATCAGTCATCCCGGTTAGGACCCACCTTTTTAAAAGACCCTAACTTCAAATACAGTCCATCTGAGCTATTAGGAGTTACAAATTCAACGTATGAATTTTGGAGGACACCATCCTCCCAAAAAACATGACCTTTGGGCCTGTTGCTTCTCACCTCTTTCCTTCTTGATATCTCAGTTCAGTTTCCACTCCTTAGACAGCCTTTCCTGAGTCCGGCCAGGCTTGATTCCCATACATCTTCGCATATGCCCTAATCATGCTTGAAATTATTTGTTCAGTATCTGTCATCTGGATTTAACTGTAAAATCCATGAATTCCCACAGCTTAGTTCGGGATGTGATAAATAGGGAGGTTGTAAATATTTGCCTAACTAAACCGTATTAAAGAGTATGTTAAGTACTAAAAACACTTATAACTATTGATTTAATGAATATACACTTTTTTTTAATGAATTTTTTTTTTAAGATTTATTTATTTGTGCATACAGAACTGGGGTACAGGCCAGAGACTCAGGGGTGGTGAAAGACTTCACCAGAGACAGAGTGGGGAGCAGAACAGGCAGATCAACGAAGTACACTGCTGAGGGGAGCAGTGGGCGGGTCAGGAGAGGTCTGCCACGCCATGTGGTCACCTCCGGGGCAGGCAGGAATCGAACTCATGCGGAAGTGGTTTCAGCTTCTTAGTGCAGTGCTTTAACCCGCTGCGCCACCAGGGAGGGCCGAATATACACTTTTTATTGATATACCACAATTTTATCAGAATTTATTAAAAAAAAAAAGGAAATCCCATATGATCCAGCAATACCTCTGCTGGGTATTTACCCAAAGAACATGAAAACACCAATGCAAAAAGAATTATGTACTTCTGTGTTCATAGAAGCATCAACCATAGCTGCCAAGTCATGGAATCAACCTATGTGCCCAACAACAGACAGCTAAAGACATTGTGGAATATATGCTGAATGGAACACTACACAGCTATTTAAAAAGGTGAAATATACCTTTTGCAACAAAGTATATAGACATTGAGGTGTTAGGCTAAGTGAAATAAGTCAGAAAATGAAGTATGTTGGATGTTTTCACCTATCTGTAAAGTATAAGTGACCAAAAAAAAAAATACTGTTAAAGCACAGAACAATTCTTACACTTTATGAAAATTTATTGGTTAGTGGAGGAAACAAAGAGCAGGGTGAAGGAACGTAGGAAGAGGAAGGAGAGAGGGCATTGGGAAGTTTGGTGCAGGGTGAGTGAAGCATGTATAAATATGGATGAATAAAAAAATAAGCCAAGGGCCCTCCCTGGTGGCGCAGCGGGTTAAAGCATAGCACTAAAAATCTAAAGCCACTTCAGCATGAGTTGGGATCTATGCCCCAGGAGGTGACCACATGGCACAGCAGACCTCTCCTGACCCGCGCACTGCTCCCATCAGCAGCATACTTCCTCAGTCGGCCTGTTCTGCTCCCCGCTCTGTCTCTGGTGAATTTTCTCACTGTTCCTGCACCTCTGGCTATACCCCAGTTCTGTATACATAAATAAATCTTTAAAACATATATATAACCTGGGCCCTCCCTGGTGGTGCAGCGGGTTAAAGCACAGCACTGAGAATCTAAAGCCGCTTCCGCATGAGTTCGATTCCCGCCTGCCCCGGAGGTGACCACATGGTGTGGCAGACCTCTCCTGGCCCGCCCGCTGCTCCCCTCAGCAGTGCACTTCGTCAATCTGCCTGTTCTGTTCCCCGCTCTGTCTCTGGTGAAGCCTCTCACCGCTCCTGAGCCTCTGGCCTGTACCCCAGTTCTGTATGCACAAATAAATAAATAAATCTTTAAAAAAAAAAAAAAACCTTACCTGTCTTTAAAAAAAAAAAACATATATATAACCCAAAATTACAGATGTATAAATAGCTGACAAAATTTAAAATAAAGAAATAAACTTTTAAGACATTGTACTGTACAATTTTAAATTGCACAGAAATCAATTTATGTACTGAATTGATTTCTGAAAGACCATACTGTTACACTTTCTTAAGAGCATAAATAAAATAGTAGACTAAAGCAGATGAACAGTCCAAGGAAAAGAGCGTCCAGTTGGAAGAAGAGATACAAAAGAAAAAAAATCTGGAAAAACACTTTGAGAATTAACTGACTATGTGAGGAAAGTCTATGCAAGAATAATGTATGTCTCAGAGAGGGAAGAAAGAAGGAAAGGGAACAGAAGACTTATTTAAAGAAATAATTTAGGAAAACTTCCCAATACTGGAGAGGAAATTAAATATACCAATTTGTGAAGCTAAAAGAACAGCAGGTTATACTGAAGCATAATGAGACCTACATCAAAACACACATTAGTGATACTTAAAGAATTCAGGACAAAGAATATTGAAGCTGGCTGAGGGGAAGCAGATAACCTGTAAAGAAACCCTGATCAGGCTCACATTGAACGGAGAAGAAACTCTGTGGACAAGGGAAGAATGACGTGATGTGATCAAAATAATTACAGGTAAAACTGACAAGCAAGAGCACTCTATACTGTAGGGTACTTCTCCAGATATGAAGGAGAAATAAAGGCCTTCTCAGACAAACAGAAGCTGAAGGAGTTTGCAAATACTAGTCCCCCTCTGCAAGAATGTTGAAAGAACTCTCATATCTAGATCAAAGAGAACATTCACAAAGACCTGAACAAGGAAATAGAACCACAAAATTAAGAACAAAATTATAGTAGCACTTTCCCATATTAACAATCACTATAAATGTCTCCAGAAATCACACCTGAGTTCCAAAGATAAACACAGACTCAGAGTAAAGGATTGGAAAACAAGCCTACAAATGAATGGGGCACAAAAGAAGGGGAAAACGTTTTAATCAGATAAAAGATTTCCAGTCAAAAAAGTAACAAGACAGGGAGGGGTACAATATAAAGATTAAGGAAACTTATCAGGAAGGTATAACACTCATCAAAACATACTCACTAAATGAAGGAGCATCAAAATATATAAAGCAATTGCTATTACTCAAAATAGGCAATGGGAAAACACATTAGTGACTGGAGACATCAATACCACACCTCCAACTGGCAAATCAACCAGACAGAAATAAATAAGGAAAAGAAAGAATTAGACCACGTGTTTGATATTTAGAGGTCTGCACCCCCCTCCCCTCAAAAAAAGCTGAATATATTTTCTTGAATGTACATGGGAGATTCTGCAGGATTGAACTCATATTGGATTAAAAGGTAATTGACAAACTCATGAAGATCAAAATCATGCCAAACACCTTCTCTGACCATAATGTAGCAAACTTGAAATTGACCTCAAAATGTAAGCAGGAAAAAAAAAAAAAGCAAGCAGTGCTAAAGTTCTAATCTGTGGAGACTGAACAACACTCAAGAACAAAGGCCATTGGGTTAATGAGGAAATCAAAGCTTAAAATACCTTGAGACAAATGAGAATGTGCCGCCTCCTTGGTGCACAGGGTTATAGTCTCAGTGCTATCAAGCTATCTCCAGCCACTGCAGCACCTGTTTGATCCCTGGCCAGGAAGCTGACTCACGAAATTCAGCAGACCTCTCCTGACCTGCCCGCTGCTCCCCTCAGCATGTTATTTCAGTAGATCTGCCTGTTCTGCTCCCCATTCTGTCTCTGGTGAAGCCTCTCACCTGCCACACCTCTGGCCTGTACCCCAGATCTTGTGTGCATAAAGAATCTTAAAAAAGTTTAAGGGATCAACTTCCCTGGCTTATCCCATTGAATACAAAAACTTATTTGAAGGGAAATATTCACTTCTAGGTTCACAGCAGCACTATGTACAATATTCAAGGAGTAATGCAATCTTAGTACCCAAAATAAATGAGTGGATCAAGATGTGGTATATATACACAATGGAATACTACTCAAGCCATTTAAAAAGATAAATTATTGCCATTTGCAACAACAGGGATGGGTTATGCTGAAAAGTTAGTTAAAAGGAGAAAGTCAAATACTGGATGGTATCTCTTACATGTGCGACAGAGAAACCAAAGGGTCAGATAAAAAGACAAACTAAAAGAACCCTAGAAAGGCGACTGTAGAAGCCAGGCTACCAGAGGGGAAGGGGGAGGGGTGAGAACCAAGTAGGCTGAGAGCAGATGACTACGGTGGTGGGCTATGGGTACTTAGGTAGAAAGTGTGTTGTGGTAATGACACCAGAAGGGGTAGTTGTAAAGCAAAAATAATGCTGTAAACCAGTTACCCCAATTAAAAAAAAAAAATTACCAACATTGACCCTGTGTATTACTCTAAACTTACTCAGGCTTCCTCCTGGTACTAGCTGAGTTGGAACTGTTCAATGTATGTTTGTGTTTCTAAAGCTTAAAATGTCCCCCCAAATTCACTCCCTTAATTGTTGTTGTTAAGATTTATTTTTGCATACAAGAACAGGGGTGTAGGCCACAGGTGCATCATAGACAGAGTGGGGAGTAGAATAGGCAGATGGACTGAAACACACTGCTGAGGGGAGCAGTGGGTGGGATAGGTCTGCTGTGCCATGTGGGTCAGTTCCCTGGCTGGGAATTGAACTCATGCTGCTGTGGCTGCCAACAGTTTCATAGTGCTGAGACTTAACTCCTTGTGCCACACTCTCATTTTAAAATGCATTTAAAGAGAAGATAGAGTGTTAAAAAAAAATTTCAAAATATGTATCAAAGTACTAATATGCACAATGATGCTAAAAAACTCAAATGAAGACCAGACCAGAATATTTACATATTTTATTAAATCTTTACAATCAGTAATTATAATCAAATACACAATTATATACAAGGATTATATACATTTTGCCCACACTTTTACATCACAGTACATAGTTTCCCTTAGAAATATTGCATACATTTATCACCAAACAATAAAATCCAACAGTAGTGTTACAGCACCTGTTAGTACAGACATCTTTTTCATAAATTACATCATAAGAAAATATACGGCTGTAAATTGGGCTTTTAAAAATGTCTTTTATAAAATCTTAACATACAATATTTCATTCACAGAATGTTTTTTTTCTATGTTCTGACTGAAGCCTTGTGCATAAAACGACCAGTTGGAATATTTACTAAATTCCCACTCCCCCCTAAAATTATAAGCACTATTTGAATTACTTATGCAGAGCTTTGTTTATGATGAATTTGGCATGGGGTCTGGTTAGAGAACAAATGTTGATTTTACTATCAAAAGGGCTGTGTGATGATAATTTTAAAAAATCTCAGTAATTAGGCAAATTAAAATCAGAGTGCAAATTTTTCATTTTACTCTAACACTGTGAAGAGAAAAGGAAAGATATAATGCCAAAAAATTTGTTCTGAAGCAATTATGTTCTTGTTGGAAGTCAACAGGTAAACACAAACACAAAAACAACAACCAAAAACATTTCCAAAAAATGTCCCATCCCAAATGTATTTTAAATTACAATTCCTTCTTAAAACTTTATGGGAGAAGTATTGCAAATTATGGTATATCATGTCAATGGACTTTGATAGACAGAAAAAACTATAGCTATTTTTAGTAGGTAAACAATTTTTTTTAAAACTTGAAAATACCTGAATTAAATACTTGTTCTGATATCTAACTTAACTTTCAATAAAATTCTTACTTGATTCCAGGTTTGTAAACATTGTATAAATCCTCTGTCAAACAATTTTATGGCTGTGGTGATCACTTCAACTCTATTTCTATGCAGTCAACATTGAACTGAGGTAGACCAGATGTTTCTAAAATTCAGGGTCTCACAGAATCCCCTGAATTATCAGGAAGTAAATAAAATGTCTATAAAGTATTTTAAAACAAAATATGGAAAAAAAACCCGCTAATGCTGTTACATATTTTTAATGAACCAAAAAACAACTTCATGGCAGTATATTGAATAAGAATGCAGAGTTAACTACGAGTTAAGTTTTGAAGCTGACTATTACACCTTCTATTCTTAACTGGAGAAAAATCAAGTATAATTCGTTCTGGGTGTTAAATATAGTTTGTTAATTTTTTTGAAGATTCACTTTTCTAAACAAGTGAACAATTTCCTGTTAGACCTCAACGAATGGCAACAACTCCCCCTCGTGGTTAAAAGCAGGGAGAGCGGCAGTAAGAAGGCTTTTCCTTGTAAGTTACAAGAGCTCTTCGCCCAAAAAAAACAAAATTGTTTTGAGAACGGTAGACAACAATGGCTCTAAGCTAAAATACAAAATCAAATCAAGGTATGTAAGGCTTCTGTAATCAAAGTCTTAAAGGAACATCTGCTCCTTTTCTCCAAGCCCCAGTCCTATAAATCAAGGCAAGTCAAGTAATGAAGCTTTAGCTATTTTGGCAGCTTTGTAATTAAGATGAACAAAGCACTATGTCTATCCTTTCCGTATACTGTATTATTATAATTCTATCTTCTTATACCAAATTTCACATGCAGAGAGAATAAAAATATCCACTTTTGTGTCAGGTTTAATTAAGGGCCAATAAAGATCTTGCATACTAACCTTCCCCCCCAACCCCCCACCCCAAATAATTTTCTATTAGACTTATTACTCACTGATTCAATTAAGTTTAGCTGGAATTTCTGAAAGCAGCTATTTATCCCCTTATACAAAAGAATATGTTTACCTGGGATCTAAGACATACTGTACATGAATATACATAACTACAACACAGCAATGCTGTTCATTAATAATTCCATATACAGTTCATCAGTACCTCAAAACTGTGTTTTAGGAGGTTATTATATAATGTGATGGTAAAGAGAAAGGAAATTAAACCTCACAAATATTCCTTTAGAACTGATTCCAGTAAGTTTAAAAAAAATAAATAAAATCAGTACAGAGACATCATTTCAACTACAGGGCTGTGTACAGATATCAATAAAGTTTTTAAAACTCTTTGTGGCAGCATCAGACAGCCATATAAATGGGAAAATTTTCATCATTAAATTATATGGCTATTTATTAGTTGTTATTGTATAAATTCTTCACATGGGTTACCATAAACTAAATTTCAGGTTCCTATCAGGAGTTTTTTTTTTTTTTTTTAAAGCAAACCTAAAAAAAAAAACATGATTCAACAGAAAATGTGGCAGACTCCGCAGGTGCAATTAAAAAAAAATAGTAGTAGGAGGAAAAAAATAGTAGTCATCCAGGATTGTTAGATCACTACCACAGTTTTATCACAGCTCCTAAGATAGAAAAATGGAACAAAAGGAATTCAGCTATTGGTGGTAGGGGCCTTGTGGCTCAAACTGCATACTAAACATGGGATGGAGTAAGGCTGATGGCTAATCACTTCTAAGAGAAAAGAATTGGATAAGACTTGTAATTTACCCTATAAGGATACAATATTAAGTTCCATTTCAGAATAGTCACAGCTTCCCTAAGGCAGGTCCAATGGGGAAGTTTGTATTGCAACAATAGCTTCTTTCTTGCCTCATTTCTGAAAAGTATTCAGTGACCAATTTCCACAATAAACTGTATAACCTTTTTACCTGATTCCAATGATTAATCTTTATGCAGAAAATTCACTGAAAACATACAATGACTTCACCTTTGGTTTAAATGAAAAGGACACTGGTAAGAGGGTCAAGTCATCATGATCATTTGTTACACAATGAAGCAAGTGAAAAGTGATGAGCAAAGACTGTCTTCGCCATGAAGTGCTTCATAACCACTTAGGTCACTTGAGTATTTCTCTGAAGGCAGCGTCACCAGAATGCCCCCATATGAAAGCCCAGCTTCCTTTAATTAGAGAGCTCTACAAATTCCTATTCCTCACCTCATTAATCACTGTTTTTCACCTATCCAGAGACTGCACAAATTTGGTTCTTAGGAATGCCCAGTAAGTCTCTAACCTGAGGTCCTGCAAGGTGGTGCAATGCTGTCATTTGAGGGGGGAATTGTGACTTTCCATTTTTGATAGGACACTTTTAAATAATGTCACTTCTAATGCAGCAAGTTCTATATCTGATCACTATCCCAGTCAGAACGTGGTTACTCCTCATCATATTTAAAGCCTCCCATTAGAGAGCCTGCTTAGTACTAGGGTGTCTAATAACCACAGTTTACCTTTCTTTTTAAATACCTACCAGCAGATTCTTTAACAAGTCATAGTTCATCCTTATCCATCATTTCAAATGCTTCTATATCTTCATTCCAGTCTGCTAATATGGAGTCTATAGGCTGGACTTTTTTACCCCAGCTAGCATTAGGATTGGAATCCTCCTCAGTTTCTGATTGTTCTTGAAGTTGGTTATCTAAATCTGTACATTCACCATCAAGATTTGTAGTCTCAAGGTTTTCTGTGGGATTAGAATTCTGTTCAGAAGGAGGACCACTTGCAGCATTATCTGTTTCTGTTGGGGAGGATGATTCTGGATGAGAGTTTAGAGAACTTTCCTCAGGTGACTCCTGATCAACTTGATCAACCAAATCAACCAAATCAACCTCCTGAGAACTTGGTGTGATCTGCTCAGCACTCTGATTCTGGGAATCATTTTCAGAGGCTGATTGTTCTTCATTGTCCATTTCAGGATCTGTGTAAAGAAACACACAAACTTCATGCTTCTTGCCCCAACAAAAAGTACACTATCACATTTTCAAATGCATACTAGCTTTTGCAATAGAGTTAGAAAATCAAGTTAGTGCAAACAGTAAACACTGACAAAGAAGAGTAAAATAACCTGCCTTATAGAAAAGTAGTACAGTACAAAATCTGTATATTCACTTTGTGATATGGCAATATTAGAAAATAAATAGTCTTCTAAACTGAAAAGGATGACTATAATAATTGAGATGACTGCCTTGAATGGGTATTAGTAAATGCCTAAAAAATGTACTAGACAGTAATACTATTAAATGCACATAAATTTGCATTTATACATATCTAAAGTTGATTAAATTTCTCAATTCTGGGAAGCCCTCACACTGGAACACACTAAATATAAATTAAAATTTAATCAGCACATGCATTGGCTGTATTTTAAGATAATGCTCTGATGAAAAGTGAAATTCCTACTGAGAACACAAAGATGCAGATAATACAAAATTCTGGATTTTGCATACTTTAAGGGTATGCATGTGATTAATGTTTTCATAAAGGTAACTATTATTTATGTCTTTAGTTTCCTTATAGGTCTATGAATTGTAAGACATGCAGTCATTCTAAAATGTGTTGTGTACATGAAACCACCAGAAGACTTAGATTCTACAAGAAGTACTTAAACAGTACTGATGCCCAAATGCTGGCCTTCTTGGCCCTCTGCCTCCATGACAATCAGTCAGTAAATCTCTGCATGTCCACCGTGTGGCAAGCCCTGGCCATGGTGCTAGGAATGAAACAAGGTCACCTGACAGTCTGGTTGGGGAAACCAAATTTACCAACAACCAAAAAAAAGAAATGGGAAATCCTAGCTGTGATGCATTATGGTGTTAGAAAAGCTTACAGGCGTCAGAAAGGAAGAAGAGTTCCTTCCTGAAACTGACACCTGAACTGAGATTTAAAGGGTAAGTACTGAGTCTTCATACATCCTGTCTCTGAAGTTGTGGAAAAGCACATCTTACTTTTACAATTAGGGAAACCATGGTGGGCCCTAGGAAGAGAAAGCAGAGAACTGGATGCTTAGAGCTCATTTGCATTAAGTTACCCCAAGTAAAAGGGAGAACAAAAGAAAGTCTTCAAGCTGTTTTTAGAATTAAGCAGAATGCTATTAATCTATTATTCAAATTATTTTATTAATCTAGAATTTAGAAGCATAGGAAAAGGTAGAGGGGTTGTTTCATCTAGTAATAAAGATTATGCTTCTGGTAAAAAAAATTGCCCCAATATTACATATATTATTATTTTGGAAACTTAACTAGTGCAACAGGGCAAGAAAACAAGGTGTATCTTTGGGAAAAGGAAAACTGAAACTATTCCTATCTGCAGATGTGTTTCATATTTAAATTCAAAGCAACTTTTAAAAAAATATGTTTTTTATTGAGCTACCATTATTTTATATCCTTATGTATTTTTCCCCCACAATAAAGAATATCTCCCCCCTCAAAGCAACTCTTAATTTTTAAAAATACTAAGGTAATAGAAGAACTTGATAATGAGAGTAAAAATAAGATAAACAAGCAACTACCAATAAATAATTTCTTCTATAGTAGCAATAACTGCCAAGAAGTAAAATTAACTATCTTTTTGAAAATACAAGTAAAAGCTACAAACAGAATTTATTGTGAGTTTATTATCAAAGGCACAGGACTCATCTTTCTTAAAATCATAAAAATATTAACAATATCTAATTAAATTTACTAATTTAAATTTCTTGGATAGAAAGTCTTAAATATTTAACCATTTTTTCCTATTTCTATTTAAAGTATAAATAGCATTTTTATGTGTTTTGTTCTCCTTTGGGATCAGATCTAATTATTTTGAAGCTACCAGTGGAAGAATATACATCAAAGAAAAGTCAAATTCTGAAAAAAATTAATGAGTTGTCTTATCAGATCAAAATTTATTATTCAAAACAGCAACATTTTTGGAACAGTAATAAATAGGTGAATGAATGAAACAGAAGAGTGAGAGACACATTCAATTATGTAAAAATATTCCAGATATTTATAACAGAGAAGCAGTATTTAGGTAAGTAAGTATGACAGTTGGAAAAGTACAAAAAGAAAGGAATTAGTGCCTGCCACACTATGACAAATCTTTATTCTAAGATGCCCACTAACACAATTATGAGTACTATCACAACAGTGCAAGTACATCAGTAAATTCAGGAGGTGAATCAGAAACACAGCAACCAAAAGAAGAAAATTTCAAGATATAAAGAAAAGAAAACTAAATTCTAGTAGTAATAATAAAAGCATATGAGAGCCTTGGAAAAGACAGATTGGATGTTCACTCACATCCAGCATTTACTAAAAAGCAGAGCTAAAGCAGAGATGACTAGGTAAACAAGTATACGCAATACAAGTATCACAGAACTACATTAAAAAGCCCTTCAGGGCCCTCCCTGGTGGCGCAGCGAGTTAAAGCACTGCACTGAGAATCTAAAGCTACTTCTGCATGAGTTCGATTCCTGTCTGCCCCGGAGGTGACCACATGGCGCGGCAGACCTCTCCTGACCCGCCCGCTGCTCCCCTCAGCACTGTACTTCGTCGATCTGCCTGTTCTGTTCCCCACTCTGTCTCTGGTGAAGCCTCTCGCCGCCCCTGAGCCTCTGGTCTGTACCCCAGTTCTGTATGCACAAATAAATAAATCTTTAAAAAACCCTTCAATTTTATCTATGAAAGTAAGAGACAGAGGTAGCATTAAAACTGCTTATTCTATAGGAAGTATGAAAGTTCTCAGAGGAAAAGCATAATGGAAGTAGAGATTGGTAAGACATTTCCAGAAAGTGGGGGAAAATGTACAATTGCAAAAGTGGAAAAAGAAGAAAAAGGAAGTCAGTATCAGTTCTGGTAAAAGGAACATTTTAGATGCTCTTTGCCAGACCAAGAAGCTATCTGCACTTGTACTCCAGTTTCTTCCCCAGAAGTAAATCTTCCTATCTAAGCAACCCTTTCCTAGATTTTAGCAATCTAGGTTCTAGATTCATACTATCAAGTTCAGTGCAGGGATACTCTTAAGGAAATTAATACTGCCAGATCATACTCTTGAGCAGATCAAACCTTAGGTACCTTTCTTTCCTGAAACATTTTCTCTATCTGCCTCTACCAGAAAGACGATTATAGGAGTGGCCAACAGGACACAGTACTCCATATATCTACATTGAAAACAGCAAGCATGATAATATATGGAAACTCTAAAATGCCATTATTTTCCCCCAAGAAATGCTATTTAGAAAAGGAAACTGAGCCCTCTCTGGTGGCACAACAGGCTAGGATGCAGCACTGCAAGTTCGTCGCAGCCACTTTAGTGACCCAGAGGTGATCCACATGGACAGACCTCTCCTGTCTCGCCCACTGCTCCCCTGAGCAGTGTACTTCAGCCATCTGCCCGTCCTGCTCCCTTCACCACCCCGCAACTCTGGCCCGTATCCCAGTTCTGTATTCAATCTGGGTCAAAAGGCAACAACACAGTGTTTTTTGTTTGTGAGCACAAGGCTGGATTATTATTAAGTATATATAAACACTTGAAATTTTATAAAGATAAGACAGAATAGAGACATGACATTAAAACTTCTAATCAATAACAGACTGTGGAGAACTTATTAACATTCAGAAATGTGACTGGTTTATCTCCACTTGACAGATTACTAACGTTTATTTCTGAAGAAAAGTGTGTAATAAAACACCTGAACATTTTTACTAATAGATAGGGCTATCTCTATTGTTTAGATATTAATGGCTGGGACTTAACAGAGTCAAGGTGTAAGGTGAACTAGAGCTTATTTGGAGGAATTCTTTTCTGTATTAGTATTTTGGAACATCAATCACAAATGATTTTATAAAGAAAAAAAGATTTATGGGATGAGAAATTAAGAATAGAAAAGATAATCTGGAGGAAACTTTACTGTTCAGGTTTTAAGGACGCCATTATTAATTATACTTTTATAAGTCTTGCTGGTAGCATGGTCCCACACACAGCTGAGACAAAAAGGGGGTGCCTTATTAGCCCTGTTCAGTCTTTCTCAAAGTGCAGTTACTGGAAACCTGTTTAAGATTTCAGGTACTGATCCCCTGACTTTAGAGTCTGACTCAACAGTGTAGAGTAGTAAACCACACTTTAAATAAGTCCATCAACTTATTCCTATAGAAGAGAAACCATGGCCCATGCACTATATACAAAGAAGGAAGTTAATAACTGCTACAGATATTAACTTCTTGGGAATTAATTTCTCAAGTGGATAAAATCATTGATTTAATGAACTATCATTAACTTCTGTCCTTTGGATAAATATCAACAATTACACTGTAATTTGGTGCTGATTTGTTTAGTATAGTTGTACAGTTTTGAAGGAGCTATACAAAAAGGAGGGGGGTAGTTCAAGGTTTTTGTGTCAAAAGATCACCACATAACAGAATCACTGCTCAATACATTTAGAGACTATGAAAACCTTTTTAAAAATACAATTTGAACAAAGCCCTTTTACTACTGGTCAAGGCACTGCATTTATTCTGTAGAATTTATCTTTATTCATAACCTTTCTCTGGTATGGGAAGCAATGTTTTACCATAACCTCAGACTCCTAACCCAATGTACCCTAATATACACATATAATTTTTAAAAACAGTCAATATTTTATGTTTTTACAAAGATTTCAAATAAAGTGATCAAAAGTAATACATGCTAAGACAACATCTTTGTTAGAGTGACTCTTATATCAACATGGACTAGTGAATTAATCTGTTATGTGGGATATTTAATTCACAGGGTTTATTACACAGGATCAGTAAAGAATAGTTATTACGGGATAGCTAATTAGACATGAAAATAATCTAACTATATCAGTGTTTAAATCAGAGTTTATTCCGGTACCCACTGACACAAAATTTATATATATATGCACGTGTGTATATGTGTGTATAGGTATATACACATATACACACACATATATAGTTTAAAGCTTATTAATGCAAGATACTTACTACTATTAATAATGTAGCTTGGAATCATTTTACCTTTTAATATTGCTGCTGAAATTCCAATGGTAGCACAAAATGGGGGAAAAAGCAAAGGCATTAAAGAGTCATATGGAATAATAATTTGCCTACGTTTGATGTGTTTATATGCACACACGTAGGAAAGAAGATCTGAGTTTAAAAAAGGGCTCAGAAAAAAAAATCAGGTACATAGGAGAATTTAAGAAGATCAGAAAATTTTTGTACGATTTCCATCTTACATACATACAGCCTACTCATTCACTCCACTGTTCTTAAATATCGTTGACATACAGAAAGATCTCAAGGAGAAATAAGCAATATAAGACAAAACACAGATTAGGCTAGCATCAAATGATTGCCCCTTCTGCTTTTTACCGTTCCCCTTGGAAGTTCAAGTGATGTGAATCAGTTTCCTACACTGTCACACATCCTAGGGAGCCCAACAACCCTGTACACACTCTACCCATTTAGGTGGGGTGGGAGGGGTACAGATGTCTCTACAGGGTCTCCAGTGAGCAAGAAGACTGCTACCGTGAACAGCAGCACAGCTACCTGGTGCGAGAATATCCTGGCTCAGCAAACAAAGCAAAGTAAGTGTTCCACAATATTTATTTCCAAAAGAATAATTCATTTGAAACCAACAAGCCAGAAATAATTTTTTGTAACTACCTTCTGTGATCAACTAGTAAAATCAACGCCAAGCCATACAAAACACAGACCTTTTTTACCCTTACCTCGATCTTTTGCTTTATCAGAAAGGAGCACCTCTACCTCTTCATAATCTCGGATGGCATCTAGAATGATACTTCCTTCTTTACTGAATAAGAAGAGCATGGGAATTTTGATGTCATCGGTGTCCTTCCCATCACCTGCCATCTGGAACAGAGGGGCAGTGTCACTGCTGCTCCCCTCATTGTCATCTAGCCAAAAAATAAATAAATAAAAATAAATACAGAAAACATACAATCACATGTCCATTAAAAAGGCCTATCCACAAATCTGTTTTTACCTGTTGACAACATTAGTTTTATGTGTCAAGAACAATAAAAAACAGGCTTTTGGACCCACTAATTCTACTCCTAAAAATTTATCCTGAGGGCCCTCCCTGGTGGCACAATGGGTTAAAGCACAGCATTATGAAGTGATCCCCAGCCACTGCAGCACGAGTCCATCCCCAGTCAGAGTAGTGACCCACTTGGTATGGCAGACCTCTCCTAACCCACCCGCTGCTCCCCTCAGCAGTGTATTTCAGTATATCTGCTGGTTCTGTTCCCCACTCTGTCGCTGGTGAATCCTCTCATCCCCACACCTCTGGGCCTGTACCCCAGCTCTGTAAGCATAAATAAGTAAATCTTTAAAAAATTTATCCTGAGAAAAAATATAAAAGGAACAAAGAGATCTGTACCTCTAAAATAGTTTACTGGAGTGCTATTTATAATTGTGAACAAGTAAATTATAACAAATTACTTGATGGAACAGAACAACAGAATATTACATAAAAATAATTCTATGATAATTAAAAATTTCATATGCTTATGAAGAGACCTTTACAAATAGAAATGCTCAGATCTGGATTATAGTGACAGGACCATAAACAATATTTTAGTATTTTGTTGTGTGTGTATGTATGTATGTATGACTACAATATATATGCAGAACGTGTTGAATCATGCTCAGAAAGCTTGATCTGGTCCCCTTAAAAGGAGATAATCAAAGGAGGCTACCTGATCCATGCTCTCCCTGGGTATCTTTGGGCAGAAGTGGGGAGTGGGCCAGTTAAATGACATCATGCCTGAGGATGGAATTTTAGAATTGCCATTTTGGAACTAATGGGGCAAAGAGGAAGCAGACCTGTGAGAACCTAAAGAATTAAGTGTAAAGAGAAACAGTTAAAAAGTCCAGGAGGACCTAGAAATGGAGACAGAGAGGTGGAAAATGCTAGCTATCATGATTCCTAATGAGTTTTAACTCCCACTTATATTTCCTTAAAGCGCTCAGTTCAATTTCTTCCTTTTGTGTTCATTGAGAATAATTTCCATATAGTAAGCAAAATTCCCTTCTTAAAGCAACTTAGTTATCAGTTCTCACAGCCAAATGGATTCTAAAGCAATTTGTACTTCTAATACTTGCAATAAAAACAACTAAATCCTAAGTTGCCATTTGTATATAATTAAAACCAAACAATGCTTTACCAGAAACAAAATAACTTCGGAGAAGTTACAAGAAAGTTCCACTCTAAAAACTAAATTTTCTAAAAATAAAGAACATAGCCTTTTATTTCCCCATTGAGCCCAGTGTAAGATTATGTAACTAATAATACCATCTGAATGGACACACTTAGTATATCTACCATGAGTATACTTCACCAAAAAAGAGAAAATATAGAATACTTCATAAGCTCCAGATTTTTTTATATACTATATATATATATAAGATTTATGCAATAGAAAGGGGTACAAACCAGAGGTGTGGGGGTCAGAGGAGTCACCAGAGACAGATTGGGAATTAGAACAGGCAAATTGAAGAAGTACACTGCTGAGGGGAGCAGAGGGCAAGACAGGAAAGGTTTGCCACACCATGTGGGTCACCTCCCTGGCTGGGGGTCAAACTCATGCTTTAGTGGCTTCAATAGCTTCATAGTGCTGTGCTTTTAACCTGTTACACCACTAGGGAGGGCCTTATCTTTTTATTTACATATATATATGTTTATATATATACACACACACACACACATATATGTATACATATAAAATTTTTAAAAAGATTTATTTATGCATACAAAACTGGGGGACAGGCCAGAGGTACGGGGGTGGTGAGAGGCTTCACCTGAGAAGAGTGAGGAGCAGAACAGGCTGACTGACAAAGTATACTGCTGAGGGGAGCAAGGGCCGGTCAGGAGAGGTCAAGTGGGTCGGGAGAGGTCGACCACACCATGTGGATCACCTCTGGGGCGGGGACTGAACTCATGCTGAAGTGGCTTTATCTTCTTAGTGCTGTGCTTTAACCCTCTGTGCCACCAGGGAAAGCCCCTATCTTTATTTTATTTTATTTTTTTTATTTTTATTTATTTGTGCATACAGAACTGGGGTACAGGCCAGAGGCTCAGGGGCAGTGAGAGGCTTCACCAGAGACAGAGTGGGGAACAGAACAGGC